CCCCCCCGCGCCCTGCGCCACAACCCCGGTGTTACCCTTTGCGACAGTCTCCGCCCCGCTATAACCCAGCGCCTTTTGCAGCATCAAAGGCACGGTGTATCCCGGCAGCCTAGAGAAGGGACATTTCAGAAGGAGAAGTTGTTATTACAGTCTTGGCAAAATCTTTTGTTTGAGCTAATAAAAGAAGTTAGTTTAAATAAAACAAAAAACCAAAACAAATGTAGGGGTTTTTTTTTCCATCACTATGTGGTATATGGTGTGTTCTTTTATTTCATGGTATTATTAACTCTCTGTAAATTGCTTTTTGAGTGAAGCTCACTCTGGATGGGCTGGTTTGTATTTGAGATAGGATTAATTTCAATAGCTTTCTTTCATAGACTTCTGATATGTATTACTGGGATTTTGGTTTTGTTTACTGTATGTATAAAAATACAGCTTTAGTAGGGCCAGCTCTGCTGCTGGAGGTTTGGGTGTTAATTTATTAGGTAGCTTTTGTTAAACACAGAATAATTATGTAAGGTTACAACAAATTACCCTATTACCCAACTTATCTAGCTATGCTACCTAAACACAAAGTTTTATGTCTTACCAGTTTTCTGTTCTGCTCCAAGTAGTTGATGCAAAAAAAAGTGCTGTTATTTTTCTGAAGAGTTTTCTTCTATAACAAGCCCTTTACTCCCCTTGAATTCAAGTCAGAGGAGCCAAATAGCTGCAGCTGCTCTGAGGGCTTTTATACCTGGTGGGGTTTGCCCCCTCCCTTTTCCTGAGTGCCATGGGAATGAGAGGCGGGCACAATCAGGGGTATATTAACCCCAGCCTTGGCTGTGGGGCTTCATTCCCTCTCTGGGATGTGCTGGGGTAAGAGCTTTCCTCTCATTTCAGTGAAGAGGCTCTTTCAGCTCATCTCAGCTTCTTTCCAGCAGGTGTTTCTGGGCATCTATAGCAACAGAGGCTTGGAAGAGACTGTGAGGAAAACAGCATGGAATACTGGGAGTATTTTATTTCATGATTTTGGGGGTTGTGTTTAGGGGTGGTGAAACGCATTTGCAGTCTCTGGTGTTGTGCTTGTTTTGTTTGTTTGGTTGTTTTTTGGTTTTTTTTTTTTTTTTTTTTTTTTTTTTTTTTTTTTTTTTTTTTTTTTTTTTTTTTTTTTTTTTTTTTTTTTTTTTTTTTTTAGGAGGAGTACAGCTTCCAGAGATTCCAGGTTTTGTCAAGCACAACGCTTTTTTCAGCAGATTCCTCATGTCACAAGACGGATCTCCCCAGTGTCAAAAATGCAAAAATTATGTTTGAGATTGAGGCTTCAGATGAATTGAGGGTTGTGGCTAGGAGAGGGATGGTGAGCAGGTATCCAGTTAGGAGTTATGGGGGGCAGGGGGGTTTGCAGGCAGCAGGGTGAGAAAGGGTGTTTATTTGTTTATTTGAGGCCCCCCTCCACCAAGGCTTTTCAGAGGCATAGCAGAGGCATTCCCATGCCTTTCAGCACACAAGGTCATCGACTGCCATTTAATTTTAGGAATGCCATTTAGTTTTGCCTTTTTCTAACTCAGGTGCCACTAATAATAAAGGCTACAGCCTTGGAATCAGGATGAAGGTGGAGCCTGAAGGAGCCAGGCATACTCAGGAGAGGGCAAGTAGCTGACTTGCTGGCATTTAGCCCACATAACTCTGGGCTCATCCTTTGGTTTTGGTTTTCTTTATTGTAGCTAACCAAGAAGCTAACAGGCCATCACAAGGCCCTCGAAGGCAGACTCATTTCAGGCACAATGTGGATTCACATCACTGATCATCCAAAAGATAAGTCAGGGGCCATGGGCCAAAGATGGGATGATGGGCAAGTAGCAGGTTGGGAGTTCTTGGGACAGATTTAAAAATCAGCAGAGGGAAAAGCAATCTTCTCCAAGGGGCCTCTGCGGACAGCTAAAGGGAGAGGCTCTACTTTTGATGGCAGCTTTCAGGCAGGTAGTGCAGAACAGCTCTGGTCTGTCGCGTTGTCCGGTGTACCGTGTTACCTAGTGTGTCTTTGGGGGCCCCTTTTGCCTTTTCCCCTTGATGCCCTCACCACAAGCATGATGTGTCGTGTTTAATGTCCCCCCGTTTGTCACGTTCTGTGTCACGGGTGTCTGCACGTATTTGTGCCAGGGCTGCTCTGCCCTGCCGCATAGCCTGCTGCAATAGGACAAGCCTGGGGAGTTGAAATTTGTAATTTGGGTGTACTTGGGCTCTAGATGCTATTCCAAGATTGACATAAGGTGTTTGCATGTTGTGAGTTATCCTGGTGGTGTTTGACACATGTTCTAACTTTCTTTCAGGTGCAGATGCATTGCATCCATGGCAGAGGGTCAGGGTTAGGAGGTGCCGGGCCTTCTTAGGAGCACGGTGAGTAGCAGACTGGTGGGGTTTTGGCCGATGGGGTGCCAAGATCAGGCACTGATGTTTGGTTTTCTTGAATACAGCTGTCTGAGAGACACCAGCCTGGTGACAGCAGGACCTTCCCAGCTGACAAGGTGGCCTTTCTTTGTACCTGACAGGGACCGGCATCCCCCAATGTCTGAGAGATAAGTAGAGGGCTACGACCCACAGAGGGGATGAAAGCAGGGTGCTGGTTTGGGAATTACTGGGAGGGGTTTCTGAGTCTGCTTTGGAGGTGAGGGGTGTTCATGAGGTGGCCCCTTGGGCGCCAAAAAAGCAAAGTCTCACTTTTGATGACAGTGCTGAGGTGTGCAGCAGGGCAGAGCAGCTCCGGTATGTATCGTGTCACTTGTCTGTCATCCATTATGTGTTGTTTGTGTATCTCCTGTCTTTTACCTTAGCCCTTTGAGGGGCCTGTCAGAAACCCTGGCACCATTCTTAGCATCCATGATCTCAGCATTCCTTGCCCTGGCACCCATGCCATGGAACTTTTGACTGGGGAGCTCAGGCAGGCATCAGAAATGCCTCTCTCTTTGGAAGCATCCTGTCAGATGTCTTTTCAGGTCTTGTTCTGAGCTGTACGGACAGCTATGCCCCGCCAGGATCCATTATGGCTGATTAGGACGTGTAAGAATGCGAGGTTAGGGAGAGGATTCTGACTGTAGGATTCCTAGGCATCCATCTTTGCAGTTCTTGGAATAAATCATTCGGTTAAGCATTGTCTTCCTCCAGGGTTCTCTGAGCCTCATCAGCTCACCATCGGTCTGACCTCGGTCATTTCCTTTTGCATTCTCTCAATCCTGGCAGCGATTTTTCTTACAAAGGGATTTCTGTCTGTGTCTTGTGCCATTTGTTTGTCACGTCCTGTCTGTCCTGTGTCATGGGTGTCAGCACACATTTGTGCCAGAGCTGCTCTGCCCTGCTGCATAGCCTGGTGCAATAGGAGGCATCTCAGGGACTTGGAATTTGTAATGTGGGGTGCAGGTGGACTCTAGATGGAATTTGGAGATGGACACAGGATATCTGGAGCCCATAAGTTATCCTGCAGCCCTTTGACTTTCATTCTAACTTTCTTTTAGTTGCAGAAGGATAAAATCCAGGGCAGAGCCACCCATCCTGGGTGAGGGGATTCCCCCATGCAGGTTAGTCACTGTTTGTCTCTGCAGAGGAAGCATAAATGGTGGCTGTTACAGCTCTGCTCTTTGTCTTTATTTTTAGGAAGTCAGGGCAAAGAGCAGCTGTCAAGGCTGAGTGGGCAAGGTGAGCATTGAGTAGGGTACCAAAGCTGTTGTTATTGCTGAGGTCTCAGTTTTTGGTGCAGCTCTAGGTATGTATTATTCTTCTTTTTATTTTAGATGGTCCGCTTGCCATCTATCCTAGCCCAGCATGCCCGTGCCAGGTGGGTTCAAGCTTAAGGTATTGGTGTGGCATACTTGTCAGGGTTGGGAGGTTGTGTTTTCACAGTATCTCAGCAGCTTTTCTGCTTTTTTTCTTTGCAGGTGCTGTCACTGCCCTAGGCATGACCAAGGAACAGAGGAGGGCAGGT